CTTTCCCAGTCCAGTTTGAGTGTTGGAAGATACTGGAACTACAAATTTGTGACTATACAGTGATGTATAGTCCTGACAAACATAACCCTGCAGACTATTCCTCAAGCAACTTTATCTTACAGTCAGCATCTGGCATCTATGCAGCAACTGAAGGTGCTGAAACAAATGTGTATTTCATTTTCCGGTGGGACACTACAGTTGGTAAAGAAAAATCATCTGTTCCAAAAAAAATTTTTGCCACATGGAGCTGTCTTAACACTATGAATCTTTTTCAAACCTGAACTTGCTTGGTACAGCTCTAGTCTTGGATAACATTATGCCCTTACTGTTTAAATGTCTGATATACCTTGATTCAAAGTCATCTTGGATTTCTGTGACATCCTCTCTAATCAACAACTGGTGGCTTTACAGATGATGAGTCTTACTTCCCATGTTGTTACCACCATTTTTGTCAAGGGAGTCCCATTATAAGCAGATGATATGCTGTCTAGTTTTAATACTCATGTTCTCAAAATTAACAGTCACTTTTCAACAATATGGACTCTACTAAGTTCTGCGACACAGCAGTTACAGTTCAAATTGGGGTTGAGTGTAAAACAAACCTTGGATCAAAAGGGATTTGAATTTCATTGCTATAGTTTTATGAGGACACTGAGTAGGTGCTACTTATTGCAAGCACAAAGAATCATAACCTCAGGTAAAATTAGACAGGCTTTTATGAAACTACAGAACATTCCTATTGTACCACCCATCACCAAAATTATGAATTGATTTGATTGTAATAGTTAACTGAGACTTCTGTAACAGTGAAGCAGAGCCTTTAACAGGAAAATGAAAGACCACATTGAAAATATATGGAGATTTTTGACAGCTATTGTTAAGGCATGGAAAAATTGCTTGGGATAAAAGGCAAAAAGAATAAATTGTCCATGCCATAACTTCAGCTCTGTCAAAATTTCAGGTAGCTGGAACCATAATCATTAGGGCTGTGCGAAGCTTCACTCCCTGATTTGGTTTGATTCGGTGACCAAATCTGAATCCAAATCAAATTGCAGGATGCTTTAATGTCTCCTGAATCAAATTGGAACCTCTCTGAACCAATTTGGAGAGATTCAGAAAGATTTGGTGATTTGGACATGGACACAGCTATTAAATGTGTTTTTTCTATATACCTCTAGGTAGCAGGCGGCTCATGAATGCTATGATGCTGGGGTGGATCCTTCAGGAGCATGGGAGGCTCCCCAGTGTGCTTGGCAGCAGACCCAGAAATGGACCAGAAGCAGTTCTGGTCCACTTCTGAGTCCACAGGAGAGTGTACTTGTCCCCCTCCCCACCCACCCCAGCATCCACCTGGCTCAGTGACTGGTGCCTCTTGGATATGGGGGGGCACCCGGGGTTCCCCTGCCATTGATTGCTGAGCCAGGAGGACACCAGGGGGTTGGAGGCCGCAGAGTGCTCCCCAGTGGACTCGGAAGTGGATTAGAAGTACTTCTCGGCCACTTCCTGGTTCACTGCCAAGCACATGGGGGTGGGTGCCCCCCCACGCTCCTGTGGGACGCTTCATCTGTCCCAGCATTGCAGGGTTCATGAGCCACGCTGGTACCTTGAGGTATGTAGAAAAAACATTTAAAGCTGTGTCTATTTCTGAATTGCTGATTCTCCAAATCAGTATTGCATCTTCAGATTAGGCCTAATTTAATCAGGGACAGTGATCTAAATCAGTGAATCGAACCACTGGCCTCGATTCAGGCTGAATCTGAATCGAATAGGGCCTGCTTTGTACACCCCTAATAATCATGGTCTGAGGAGTGACCACAACATCACCTATTTTCAATTGTTGCAAACTGTATTACATCTACTTCAAGCCTGCTATGTAGGAAGATAGCAGTGCCCTAATCACTGTATCTCTTAGACCACCATGCATTGCAGAATTACTGGAAGGCTAATTAGCACATGGATCCTTTGTGGGGGCTATCTTGATTACACACATGTACCAAGTAGTGCTGAACTGTGGGGTCACCATGACTTTAAACATTGTTGACACTGCTGGGACCCAGCCCAATGAACTATATCATAAATCGTTAGCCTTTTTGCTATGGGCAAGTATCATGCATAATTTGTAGGGGAGATACTATGATAATGGTTTCAGCCCAGTGATTTTATGTACCTGGCAAGGGAAATCCCATTCTTCCCAGTGGTGAATGACTTGTTGCAGTTGAGGATGGAGGCCTGTCAATTGCACTGTGGGCAGGCACCCCGAGACAGTTTGCTGTAGCCTCCCAATAGGAGGATCTTGGCTACACAATTCATGGCAATGGGGGATTGTCCATATATGGCTTGTTTTCTTTAGCTTGCTCCTATGGTCTTTTGGCTAGGGACAAGCACGACTAGGAGGCATCTGAACCCCAAGGCCTCTAGAGTTTTCATATATGGGGGTTTGTATATGCCTCAAAATTGGCCTTTAAAGCAACTTAAATGCCCTTTTGTACTGCTTTAATAGCGCTGCTGTTTACACTGTCAGTGGTGTATTGCATGTTAAATGACTTTGGGACGTAGCAAAGTAAAACATGTCTGAGGTGTTTTAGTTTGCTGCCTTCCAGCAGTGGAGGGAAGCACTGGGCCCTATGCAGCTCAGGGGCTGTGTAGGCAGCCCATACAGGGAGGCTCTTCTAAAGGGGGGGGGGGGGAAAGGGTGAGCCCGTTTTTCCCCCCCCCCCCCCGGAGCCTGCCTGAGCTGTGCGGGGGCCTGGTGCTTCCCTCCACAGCTGTGGTGCCCCCTGGGACTGCCTGGGCTGGGTGCCATCTGGGGGGTGCTGCCACTGTTGCAGAGGGAAGCACCCCCCCCACAGCTCAGGGACCACTTAGCCTGCCAGCAGCTCGCCCTCCCCTCCACATCACTGCTGAAGAGGCAGGTAAGGATTGGGCCCAACTCTTGTGTACACGACACAGGTTTACTCCAGTTTAATTTGTAGCAGTGTTATTAAAAACCTATTGCTTCAATTTAGGGAGAATTAAACCAAAGTAAACCCCCTGTGTCACAGGCCAGTTGGACACTGTGAGTATATCAGTTTAGCTGCAGACTGACTGAGCACTGCAACTTTATTAGCCACTGGGCTTTTTGGTTTGGGATCGAGGAGGTGATGTTGGAAAGAAAAGAAATGACAAGTTACTTACAAAAAGGAATGAATTTATCTTATGACAACAAAAGATATAGTTTGCATATATAATAGTTAATAAAAAGGTTAAGCTAATAAGCAGACAACATAACAATACAGATTAAAATTGACAGTGATAATAAAACAGATAAAGAAATTAACCAAGAGTTCCCACTTGGTTAGTAACTTATTGATAGTCCCTCGGTTAGAAGATGCACATCAAGTTGAATTGGCGAAGTTAGACATCTCTGAACTGGGCTGCCCGAAGGATACTGGTGGAAATCCCCTCAGTCAGGATCTGGTCCTTGCTGTCACAGGGAGTAAGAGAGATCCGTGGGGGTATGGGACAGCAATGACCCTTCTGTTCCGTCCTTCCTGAGGGTTGCTATGACGTGTGTGTTCTTTTATATTCTGATTATGCTATTTTTTTAGTTATATAGCCATTCATAATATTGCTTTATAGCTGTTATTCTATGGGGTTAAAAGGTGTTAGAAATTATTATAATAAATTACTGCCCAAGCTTGGGTTTATCCAATAAGCAAATTGCAACACAACATCTTCAGGTTTAAAATTAACATTACCCTGCCTAAATCCAGCCCCTTCAAAACTCTCTGACTATGCTTTTTTGAGATGTCCTTTCTTGAAATGTACTGGATAAGCTGGGCAGTTGAATCCAGTTTTTATCATCATCAAGACTAAATTCTGAGCAAGAAAGAACTATTAGGTCAGCTGACTTCACAGCTATAGCTTTGTCTTTGAGGCCTAGTCAGTTCCACAAACAGTTACAAGTTACGTTTGTAGGTTACAAAAATACAAGCTTCATATGAGAAAAAAGTTCCAAATGCCTCCAAGAAGCACATATTTATTGTTTATTAATTTCTTTGGTTCTGGCCATCAGACCTGTGGCATGTACAAACGGCCTATGATGCTTGCCATGGACTTAATAGTATTTGAAATCCCAGGCTGAAGAGTCTGGGTGGTAGGATACTTGCCAGTGGTACTGCCACACAGACTTGAATGATTGAGCTCTGCTCATTTAATATAATTCGGAACTGATTTTGGCTAATTTGGTCTGAGGTGTGATGTTAAAAAAACCCAACAAGTTCTTGCTATATATAAGTAGGTACAAAAGTGCCGCTTAAAAGTGTATTTATGGAGCACCTGTTCTAAAACTTGCAGCAGTTTCAAAAAAGATAAATTGCATCTATCTTGGATGACCTAAGTCTGTGTGTAAGTATAATAATATTTCTATATGTAAGTTACTACATGTATGTTTATTTCAAAGTCAGTGTTTTCACACTTGCTCTTCACTTTCATGCGCTCAGGGAGAGCAGGATCTAACAGTAAGGAGCGGGGGAAGAAGTTGAAGGGGCAGAGGGCAAGGGGGCCAGTTGATTTTCCCCCCCCCC